AATTTTCAAAATACGCTAATTTTTGAACTTCAAAAGATTATTGAAAAAATTCATTTTTTTTAAACTGTATAATTAATCCACTTGAGATATATTACATGTTTTTATGATGAATTAAAGTTGTAAGTTCTGAAAATGAAACTAATATCAAGAAAAATTAAAAACTTTTCACTCTAATTAAATGGTTCATTAACGCACCATCAGCCGAATCCATGAGAAATAGGCGAAATTTGAAAACAAACTTTTTATGCAAGTTTTCAGAGTTTTAATAAAGTTTTATTGTATGTTCAGAGTTTTGTTAGTTTTATTGTTACGCTTTCATTTTTATAAGAGTTTTATTGAGCTGAGGCTAACAGGGCTCGACAAAATATGCCATAAGGAACAAGCGTTGTCCTGAAGTAACTTAGCGTTGTTTCAATACCTGAGATTGAGAAATTTAAGTTTTGATGACTTTTTCTCTTCCTATAGTTTATTCGAAATTTTGAATGAAAAGAGTTCCTCGCATCTGTCACAGCTCGCGAAAATCTCACAGGTGGTAGTATATTAGATAACTCCACAAATATGGAAGAAAAAAAGCATCGTGGTTCCTACGATATTGCATTAATCAAGGACACGGAAACATGTGCAATAAAATGGAACGACAATGCTGAGGTAACAATTGTTACTAATAACTGTATCATTTTGCTCCTTGTAATTGCCTAACGATACAGTTACAAGGGAAAAAAATAGCCGTTGTTAAACAGCAGGCCCAATTTTTTAGTTTATGACTTCTAATGTTCAACTCCGTAGTCTTGTAATTTCGAACCCGAGTCCAGAAGACAAGGAAATTCCTGGATCGCATATAGGGGGAAATTTGCCTCCGTAGAGGATTTTTTGCTGGGACTAACGTGCATTTGCGTTACATGGAGAGGAAGACCACGAAAACCTCCCACGGTTAGCCTGACTTCAAAGGGATTCTAACCTATGATCACTCTACCGCTGAGGATATTTTTTCAGCATTGTGGTCAGTGCCCTTCGGATGAGGATTCGTGTCAACCAGCCATTACAGGGATTCGAACCCGGTTCGCCTCAGTGGAAGGCGAATACTCTATGCCTCGAGCCATCGCGGCTCAAGAAAAGAAATTGTGATTTCACAACTCAATGTTATTTCAGATAACAGTAAACATAAGGGAGGTGTAGACCTACATGACAATGCCATAGGTAAATACCGCATATTCAAGGTAAGAAACGGTAGTGGCCATTATTTACAAGCATCATTGATAGCGTTATAGTAAATTTCTGGAATATTATACTACATAGAATTGCTGCTATATAGAATTTCAACTAGCTCTAAAATATCACTTATTGACTATAGATCTTATATGGCTATTGCCTAATTAAAACCTGAATCCATCCATCTAGTTAAAGTTCATTACAAGTTACCCATTTCAACAAAGGTCGTCCATCATCCACAGCTTTACTAATAGAAGTACAGACTGAAAGAATCGGACATACGATAAATGGGCAAGAAAAAAAGTCAACAGACGATGTAAAGTGCGCAAAAAACCACACGATAAAATTATGCATCAAAGGCAAAGTCCATTTGCATTCAAAATGTTTCGAATGTTTCCATTAAAAATATAATCGTTGGACTAAACGAATTGTTCATTGATCTGGCCAATGGTGCGTATACGCACCATTTTATTTCTTAAATAAAATATTATTTTTCATTCACGAAACTTATTTTTTGTCTTTTTGATGGAAATTTAAGCATATTTAAATGAAAATAATACCACATTTTATAAAATTTCTGTCCTTGGCCAAAAATGGGTCAAGCTTAGTTTCGGGTTAATACGGGTTTTAAGGGCCGTTCTAGTCATTGACGTAGCCGGTGCTCGATCCTCGACACCACCGAGTACATGCGATATACGTGCTATTAAAATTTGCGGAATCGAAAGGCCAGTGGTTGGTAGTATTCCTGTACCAAATGTGCAGGGATCTGGAGAAAATTTCCCACCCCTTCAGATTTAGGTCTAAAGGGATGATTAGCCCAATGTGCTGCTCTAGTGCGACGTAACTAAAACACCTACCTTCATATACATTATGATGCTGCTACATCACACGTGCGTTGTTTTTCTACTCCTCAATAGTTTTTTCAGTTTTCGTTCTTTTTAACCACAATAGCCTTTTACTTCATTTAACTTGTTTGACTCATTTTTTATATCGATTAACCCTACCCTAACTTTAACCGTATATCGTTTTTGCGCTTTCCCGCGTACCTTCTTGGCGTCAGTCGAGGAAGCTACGGTGAGAAAGAAGCAACGGTCTCATTTTTGATACTTTTCAAGTTTTCCTCCCCATAAGTTTTTAAGATGTTTCACTTCTCTAAAATTTAAGATGTAAATTAATATTTAAAGTTCCTGAAATAAAATGTAAGGGGAAACCAAATTGTATTTAAGTAGATCTCTGGCAAATAGAGATGATGAGAAACACGTGTGCATTATCGCCAATGATTGGCGGACTTCCATCATGAAATCTACCAGGTGTATCGTCTGTGCTAGAATTCCTTTTTAAAGGAGATAAAAAAAAGGAAGCCTCGTTCGAATGGTATTGCGTGTTCAAATAGAATGATAAGAAATGGTGAAAAGGGAGCCAGCTCCATCAAAGTGAACCAACCGAAAGTTTGGATTAATAAAATAAAGTTTATCAACACTTCATAATGAACTGAGTGCCCTCTTTAACTTCATCTCAAATGCACTAGTTGACCAGTAGAGAAACCTGGAGATCCTTCTAGAACGAGGGGTCAGGTAATTAATTTGAACAACATCTCACTAATACGATCACTCTTTTATGTTTTTATTTATTTCATTCAATATATATATATTTAAATCATAACGATATAACAACTCTTTTTTTAATTTCAAAATAAGTACAAGCGTCTTTCATTTTAGCCTCACAATATTTCCCCCTATTTATATTTTAAATATTTGCATAATGTGTTTAATTTTTTGTTAAAATACCTAATTGATATTAAAACTTTATTATTTTAAAGAATAGCATTAATTTTCCCTCCTAATATTTAGTGCATGAAGGTTTTAAACTTAAGATTTCCACTAGCTAAAGATTTTACAGTGTGCAAAAATAAACGAACCACCTGAATAACTTTTGATCTAATGATCAAATCTTCACGTTCTCGGACTCAATCTTATTGGTGAGGGTATACGAATATGCGAATTAATTAGTAAACACGATATTTTAAGTTACATCAGACACCAAAACTCACTTTCTCTGATTAAACATCCCCTTTTCTCGACGGATTTAGATTTCTCCCCCCCCCCCAAAAAAAAATGTAGGGAGCAGACGCAATATGATAAATATGGTCCTAATAGTTTGGTCATCAGAGTGGTCCAAAGTTTGGACCCCTTATGGTTAGTTTTACTTCTTGCGTAATTTAAAATATCTCGAGAAATTCTTAAGCGAATTGAAAAATGTTTCATCAAAATTATAAAATTCGTTTATCCTAAGAAAATTCCATGCAAAAATTGACTTTTAATAAGTATTTTTTATATTTTATTATTTTAAATGACAATCGAAAAAGAATTTTGAGTTGTAAAGCATACACATTTTTACATCACAATTCACATCTTCAATTATACGCATACAAATTTATTATTTTAAAGAATGCAATTTCAAATGGTAGAATACTAATTTTGNAGCATAGCCGCTGCCGGCCACTGTTTTGAACACTTATTGTAAGCACATGCCATTAAATTTACTTTTATAACTTAACTTCATCGTTCTTTGTGTGTTTTTGCCTCATATAAGAACATACACTCTGACGCCCTCTAGCAGTTTTTGGTTTTGTTTTCGACCACGCATTCCTTAATAAAAAATTGTTTGCTTGGGTGTGTACTATCACTTCCTAAAATTTAGCCCATCTTTTTAGAATCACCCTATATGTATATATATATATACATACAGTAACACCCCGCTAAACGAAGCTATCTTAACATGTAAATAATGGGGTTAGGGTAAGATGGATAAAAAATTGGTTTGGTATTAAATTTAATAATTATGTTTTTTTAATAAAAATAAAACCATGTATTTATTTCTTACGAAAATAAAAACAATATAAACGAATATACGTACTTATAAAAACAAATAAAATTCTAAGACAGTCAGATCATTCAGTCTATTTCGTGTTTCCAATTTTTTGCCTTTTTGTCAAGAAGGCATCTAATATATTTTGTGTTTTCCTTTTGCGTTCTGTTAGAAGTTGTTGATAAGTGGATAAAGCCTCTCTAACACTCTGTCTTGTTTTTGAACTCCTGTCAAAATTTGGGTCATTTTCAACAAATTAGTCCATAATTTCAGTTATAGTGGTCAAACTCCTTTTAACAAACGCCATCGAAAGTTCTTTTTGCTCCTCTTTGAAATCACTACTATCAATATTTCTGTTTTCTTCTTGCTCAGTTAATTCTTTGAGCTCATCACTAGAAAGATAAGCTGCTGTTTCTTGAACTATTTCTTCGACGTCTTCCACATTTACCTCATCTATACCGGTTTGTTTTGCTAATTCCACTATTTCATCCATATCGACAGAGTGTCTGGCCAAATGTTCTTCAATACTCCTTTCAAAGATCTTTCTGTTTTCTCATTTCAAGAAAGGTTTTTGTTTTCTACAGCCTTCATGATATTGTAGTTTTTCCGATATTCTCTTATTGATTGCTTCTCTTCTCGGTCTATTTTGTCAAACATCTGCTTTAATGTTCACCGCAAGTAATAAGCCTTAAAATTTTATATAACGCCTTGGTCCATTGGTTGGATTAAGGCAGTTGTGTTAGGCGGCCAAAAACCACTTCGACTGGAATGCATGCTGTTAAGTCTGATAAATTTGTTGGGTGGCTTGGAGCATTATCAATTAATAGTAGTGCTCTTTGCTGAAGTTTTTTAATTTCGCAATAACGCTTAACAGACGGGCAGAAATGTTCAGTGAATCAATCCTGGAAAATTTTCATAGTTATCTATGATTTTCTATTAGACTTCCAAATTATAGGTAAAGTTGATTTAGATATGACTTTCATCGCTCTTGGGTTTTTGGAGCGGTAAACTAATAGTAGTTTTAATTTGAAATCTCCTTTTGCGTTACCACCCAGTAGAAGCGTTAAGCGATCTTTTGCGGCTTTAAATCCTGATGCTCGTTTCCCTTCACGGGATAGAAATGTTCGTTTTGGCATTCTTTTCCAAAACAGGCCTGTTTCATCAACATTAAAAACCAATTCTAGAGGATAGTTTCCTTGTTCAATTATTGTTTTTAATGTCGCTGGGAATTCAGCCGCCACTTTCGTATCACCACTTGCTGCTTCTCCTGTAATCTTTATGTTGTGAGGATTATTTCGATGTTTAAATCTATTAAACCATCCTCGACTAGCAACGAAAGTTTCCCTTATGTCACTTACCTCAACCTGAATGCAATTAAAAATTCTTCTAGCTTTCTCCATTATGATAGATTGGCTTAATGGCATATTGCGTTCAATTTCGTGGTCAATCCATATAGACTGTCGTTTTTCCATTTCCTCTATAACGTTATTTCTTGAACGGGTAATTCTAGTTCCAGAGCTTGACGCAGTTGCAGTTGCCGACGACAGTATTTTTTCCTTATTCTTAGGAATTGTCCTTAGTGTTGAGGTTGCCAAATTCAGTGCAGCACTAATTTGAGATTGACGTTCACCAGAATCTAATCTTCTAATCACTTGCATTTTAATTTCCAGTGAAATGGTTTTTCTGGTTGCTTTCTTTTCTTGTTTTTCATTATCAATAATGATAAAAACTAAAGATCATAATATTTGTCGCTGTATTAATCATTATAGTATTTTATAATGTTATATGTACTTATAATAATGTCAACAAATGTTTCAAATGATAAAAATGCATCTGTACAGCACCGCACCAAACAAGAAACACAACTGCACTGTTTCGGATATGTTATGTACATATTTGGGGGAGTCCGCGCGCACAATTTCGAAGAATCCCCGGGTTGAAATAAAAGAGCGCTAAACCGAAACAGCGTTAAGAGGTGTCTTACTGTATATATANATAATTACATTATATGAGTTATTTTGATTATTATGTATCTTTTACCAGTTGATTGAAAAATATTTATTTTTCTTCAAAGTTTAAGAAGCTTTAGATGGTTTTTCTACATAACATGTATATGTCAGTCAGGCATATGCCTTGAATATATGTTCAAGTACAAAAATATAAAATCATAAAATATTATTTCATAAATAGCAGTTTTTTAGAAAAATTAAAAGGTAATTAATTCCAGGTTCAGCTGTCTGAAAACTACCACATAACCATCAAGGAATCACTTTCCAGAGACAGAAAATTCCTTTTCTATCCATATGTGGCGTTGCGGTCTGAAATGCAAAGTCCGAACTACGAATCTCTGACGTTGGACTACGTCGCTTGCAGCCGATAATTGATGTAAACCTCATACCTGAATGGAGATATGCGTGAAGGGCGAAATCAGCAAAACGCGCACCGTATGTTTTGGATATAACTTGGCCGCCACCCCACAGCTTGCTCTCTCTCCCCGTCGGTTCTAGCTAGCAGTCCGGCATGTTCTCACCGGTTACCTTTTCGCAGTTTTTTTCTATGCTGCTTCAATGTTAAAGTGGTTAAGTTTTATATATGTTAGAATGTTTTAGTTAAATTTACAAGTTTCCTAAATGTTAATAAAGATAGTTATTTATTTAAACTTAGTGTTATTTATGAAGAAACCTATAATCCGTTCTTGGAAACATTTTCATGTGGAAGGCTTTTCTAGAGTTATATTTCTTTTTAGAGTTTAAGTGGGTACTCTAACAAAGATAACAAACAACCCACACATATTTCATAATTGTGTAAAATACTCTAAATACGATGTCATAAGATAACATGATAGAAATATAAGTTTTCGTATAGTTAATTATTGTGACCCGGGGATTTCTGCTTCTTTACACTTGTTTAAATTTTTTAAACTGCATAATTGAAGCTTATGAATGTATAGATTTACCAATAATGACTATTTCGGAAAAAAATTAAGCAACCATTTATCATGTCATCTGTTTGGTAGATGAAGTACAAGCTTTTTACAAGCCTTGCAGTTCAAACAAACTAGTAATTTAAGCTTTTTAATTACCATCTAACATATCTATTAAACATTTTTTATTTTCACAAAATGCAAATTTTTTTAATTTTAAACTAAAGTTATGTTTCAATATGATGAAAGTGGAGTTCTCATACCCCTTTCCTTACATGCAAAGTACACGCACGGAAACTAAATTAATGTTTCACTTTTTTTAGTTCTTCTTCATTTAATAAAAAAAAATCTTAAAATAAAGTACTATTTCTGTTTATAATTAATTTGAAACACCATTTTTTTTTATTTAACTATAGTCATCATATTTTTTGAAGTATCAAAAATTTCTTTTAAAAATGTTATTTTACAACCAAAAAAATTTTTATTTAATATTTAAAACATCATGAAAATGAATTAATTTAATAATCAAAAATTGATTTTTAGAACATTCAATTAAATTTGCTGGTATAACATCTGTTATTTTAATAACTGTTTTTAAAACTTTAGATTTTTTTTACTATGCTTTTTGTTATTGTTAAAAGTAAAACACAATCTTCTTTTTTCCTTCTATCTTAAGTATTTAAACGAATTTTTTGCCAAAGTGTAATGAATCTGTTACTGGGACAATTCCCACATTACAGTCTCCCCACACCAAATTTTGATTTTAATTTTTCCTCCGTCAAAAGGGTATATTTTTACGTTATGAGACGCGAAGTGCGATTCCCACATTGGCAGAATTTATATGTTGTCATTGGCCCGCCAAGTGACTTACCCCTATGCCCTGCGCAGTCACTCCTTTTAAGCGATTGGGGGAGGGGGATGTCAAACACAGGTGTGAAGATGCAAACTATAAGTGATCGTCTTTTTTTGCTCCGTTTTTCCTCATCGGCTACTGCGGTTTTTCTAGTTTTGCATACAAACTAGCTTCTTATAGTTTTGTAATAAAACAATAACTTTCATTTCATGCAAAGATTTTTATAAAAATATAAAAAGCAAAATGATGAAAGAACTTTTTTATTTCATAATCAAATATCATCCAATGAATCTTCTTGCATAATAAGATATATTTCATTTTTTATTTCTTTTTAACCAATTATAAACGCAATCACTTAAAAGTCGAAGCATATAAAAACATTTTTTTTTTAGAATTGTTAGAAACTTTTCTCTAGAATTGTAGTTATGATTTTTTTCACATTATGAGACAAGTAAAATTAAATAAAAATTTTTATTCTACGATAAAACTTAAGGCGACTTAAGATATAAGTAATTCAAGTTATTAAAAAATTTAAAATAATGTTCATGTACATAAAACTTACAACTAGTTTCAAGCACACTAAAGTTTTCTCATCCTTAAAGTATGTGCCCATGGGTCAAGTCATTATTTTTCTAAACATATTCAGTACTAGATATACCAAGATATTTCATAAATATTTTTTCAAAAAAAATTACTGTGTACCTGTAAATAACACATCAAGTCAATTTTAATAATTTTAAATAAATTAAGGTAGAATTTTAACAAGAATAAAGTGCTAAAATCTAGAAATAAAATATGATCTTAAGAAAAGAGTATTATTTTATTTGCATGTAACAAATCAAAGAAAAGGCAAATACATCTTTTCTGTGGTCTAGTACAATAATTTCTTTATAAATATCCGATTCCAGAAGCTTTACTTTCTAATAAAACTGATCAATGAATTGAGCTTTTCTGCAAAAAGCAAAGCAATTTATTTCACTACGGATATATTAAATTATACTAGGAGGCTCCGCCCCCTGCTCGCTAACGCTCGCCAACCCCCAAGAATTGCTACGCAATCCTATGTGGTTCACGCCGTGAACCATGGCTCGCTGCGCTCGCTCGCCAATGAACACAATGTTCTAGCACAAAGACATAATATATTATCATCAAAGACATAGTATTTTATCATCAAAGACATAGTATTGTACTTATGTAGAAGAATTCTACCAATGTTCTTATTGGCTTTTAAAAAAGTATATTAGCTATTTAGATTGTACATGGTGAAAAAATCAAAACATTAGCTAAATAAGAAACATAT